AGATTTACTTACCTGAATGATTGAGATGCATCAAGACGTTTTAACCCACTTTGGTTACCTGAAGTCTCTCTCTCCCTGTCAGACTGCACCCGGCGAGATGCTCGTTCTGCCGCTGCTGAACATCCGTCAATCGGAGCTGCGGCTGCGCTCGGACAGCGTCTTCCTGCTGCGCCAAGCCGCTCTGTCTCTGGACCTCCTCGTCTTCAGGGACCAGCTGGACCTGCGAGCACTGCAGCGGGCCGGCCGCCTGCGGCTCACGTTGGTCGACCACAACGTGCTGCCCAGGTAACACCTCACAGATGACCTTGCACACCTGAGTGGTGATCACACCTGTCTTAACATCCTGTCTCTGCTGCAGTTCAGACAGCGACCTAGAGGAGGCGGTTGCAGAGGTGATCGACCACCACCATCTAGAGAGGGAACCCTCCCCCACCTGTCCTGTTACTGCGGAAACAGTGGGATCCTGCGCTACCTTGGTGACAGAGCGCATCATTCAAAGAGCTCCAGAGATCCTGGACCTGCAGCTTGCTCACCTGCTTTACGGTACACACCTGGTGTTATTGAGCGTTCGAAGGTTATCGAATACATGAATGGTTTATTTGAAGAGTTTCAGTCAGGTTTCAGAGCTCATCACAGCACAGAAACAGCTTTAGTGAAGGTTACAAATGATCTTCTTATGGCCTCTGACAGTGGACTCATCTCTGTGCTTGTCCTGCTAGACCTCAGTGCAGCGTTCGATACTGTCGACCATAATATCCTATTAGAGCGATTAGAACATGCTGTAGGTATTACAGGTACTGCACTGCAGTGGTTTGTATCATATCTATCTAATAGACTCCAGTTTGTGCATGTAAATGGAGAGTCCTCTTCACACACTGAGGTTAATTATGGAGTTCCACAGGGTTCAGTGCTAGGACCAATTCTGTTTACATTATACATGCTTCCCTTAGGCAGCATCATTAGAAGACATAGCATACATTTACACTGCTATGCAGATGACACCCAGCTCTATCTGTCCATGAAGCCAGATAACACACACCAATGAGTTAAACTGCAGGAATGTCTTAAAGACATAAAGACCTGGATGGCCGCTAACTTTCTGCTTCTTAATTCAGATCAAACTGAGGTTATTGTACTCGGCCCTGAAAATCTTAGAAATATGGTATCTAAGCAGATTCTTACTCTGGATGGCATTACCTTGGCCTCCAGTAACGCTGTGAGGAACCTTGGAGTCATTTTTGACCAGGACATGTCCTTCAATGCACATATTAAACAAATATGTAAGACTGCGTTCTTCCATTTGTGCAACATCTCTAAAGTTAGAAATATCCTGTCTCAGAGTGACGCTGAAAAACTAGTTCATGCATTTATTACTTCCAGGCTGGACGACTGTAATTCATTATTATCAGGAAGTCCTAAAAACTCCCTGAAAAGCCTTCAGCTGATCCAAAATGCTGCAGCAAGAGTCCTGACAGGGACTAGAAAGAGAGCAGATTTCTCCTGTTTTGGCTTCCTGTTAAATCCAGAATTCAAAATCCTGCTCCTCACATACAAGGTCTTAAATAATCAGGCCCCATCTTATCTTAATGACCTTGTAGTACCATATCAGCCTATTAGAGCACTTCGCTCTCGCTCTGCAGGCCTACTTGTTGTTCCTAGAGTATTTAAAAGTAGAATGGGAGGCAGAGCTTCCTTCTGCTGGAGGTTTCTTCCTGTTAAAAGGGAGTTTTTCCTTCCAACTGTCGCCAAAGTGCTTGCCTGTTGAGTTTTCTCTTTATGTATTATTGTCGGGTCTACCTGTATAAATAAACCTGAATTGAGTAAATCTTGTGTGTCTGAAGTGTGCCGTTGACTGATTGGTGGGTTGTCTGTGTTGGTCTGCAGCTGCCATCGTGGTGGACTGCGTGGACATGTCACCTGCTGCAGGTAAAGTCACTCCCAAAGACAGTCAGTATGCTGCAGCGCTGGAGAACCTATTCCCTGCTCTGCCACCGAGGGGCGCTCTCTTCCAGGAGTTGCACAGAGCCAAGTTGGATGTCTCAGGTCAGTTTCTGAGAAGTCAGTCATAACTGAGAACACAGGTGGAACAAAGTCTGGACTCACCTGTGTTTGTTACTCTTCAGGTGTGGATACACTGCAGATTTGTACTTTTTCCTTTATAGTTTTTATTAAAGAATTCAATGGAGCATTGTTTTAGTATTGCAGTTTTACTGTACTTGGTGTAATATTTTTTTATTGGAGTATTTGACGCAGTACTTTGTTTGCAGGTCTGAACACAGAGGAGATGTTGTTGAAGGACATGAAAGCTGTTTCAGGAAGTTTGAATCTCTCCGTTTCTGTTCTCTACATCTCACTGCAGGTCAGTACTGCACACTGTACTACAGTCATACTAATAAGCTGCAGTGACACCAGTCTGCCACCAGATAGCATCAGAGCTGCAGAACACCTGACGAGACATACTGGTGTGTGTGTGTGTGTGTGTGTGTGTGTGTCAGGAGTTCCTGCAGAGGGAGGACTTGGAGGCGGAGCTTTCAGGTTTCTGTCAGAAGTACGGATATGATTTGCTGCTGCTGATGACAATCTTCTTCACTGAGAGCAAAGAGCCAATCAGAGAACTTGCTGTGTTCAGCCACAGCACCACCTGCAGGGAACAGGTACACTCTCCTCCCCCTTCTTTAGTCTGCTGTTCCTTCTGCGTGACGGCTCAGGTGTCCTCCCTCCTCAGGTGAGCCAGTACCTGGAACAAGCCCAAAGCCCCGCCCTCAACCTGAGTCCACTCAGCAGCCCCCACTCTCACATCTCAGCCTATCATCAAGGTAACACTCCTGTAATCAGACACATCTTGCAGGTGTGCACAGGTGATGCTTGATGTTCTGCTGCCTCGTTAGCTATGCTCTGTAGGGTGTGTCTCTGGGGGGGGGGGGTGGCCTCAGGACTGATGGTGACTTCATCACCCTATGTCTCCAGGAAACTCACTGGCGTCTCGGAAGAAGCTCCTCCCCATCATGAAAGACTTCCTGACGACGTGGGATGGGTATGGTTTCCCGGGAGACAGGAAGGACGAGCTGTCTCAGGTCCCGCCCACACCGATGAACAGCCTGGTGGAGGGCTCCCCTCTGGACAACGGTCTGCCTCGCATCACCTCCCAAGCCCTGGAGGAGAAGTTCAGCCAGATGGTCAACAGGACTGACTGACCTGTCAGAGGAAGACAGCGATGAAGCACCAACGTTTTATGGGTTGTTGTTTTTTGGGTTTTTTTTGGTTTTTTTAGCAGGTGTTGTTGAACACGAGCATGAATCCGTGTTCCTGTTTCTCTAATAAAATCCAAAATGATCAAAAGAATCCGAGTCTGGAAACCCGCCGACAGCAGGCATGAAGGTCCGCCCCCGCTGCACGCCTCGTGCTCAGAAAAAACTGGGCGCAGCTGTGACTGAGGCCTCCAGCCAGCAGGTGGTGCTGTTGGATCGGTCTGACACAATAAAGTTCTCTGCAGTCCTGCGTGGATGAAAGCACACTGTGCAAAAGTCATGAGCCACCCTCATTTCTTTATATTCTCTATGAGTATGTTTATTAAAACATACAAAACACATGTGATGGTTCAGAATTCAAATGTTTATCAAAGATCTGTAACATCACAGACTGAGCTGCAGCCGTGACGGAGCCTCCGTCTCACAGGGGGCTGCTGACGCTGTGTTGGAGCTCCTCGCACACGCTGACCATGATGTGGCTCCATCGCTCTATCAGTCCCGTTCCTCTGACTTTCATCGGCGTTTCCTCCTGTGAGGCTGAGCAGCAGACGATCGGCTGATTGTCTCTCTGGTCTGCTGCAGAGTTTTCAGGCCTCACACTTGTGCCGTTTCAGCTCTTTGGGAATCGCCTCTTTGGTGCAAACTTAAAGTTTTATGTCAGACTGTTATCTGTGCCATTTCTCACAGACTCAAATCAAATCACTTTTATTGTCACATCACATGTGCAGGTACATTGGTACAGCACATGTGAGTGAAATTCTTGCGTGCGAGCTTCACAAGCAACAGAGGTGTGCAAAAATACAATAACGTAAAACAAGCAAAATATAAGAATGGCTACATCTGAAACTAATAAATATATGTACAATATATAATAGTATATGCATTTCTGGATGTGTATACTAAATATTTTTCTACGTGTGTGTGCGTGTGCATATTTTACAAATTAAATGGAGTAAACAATAAAATAAAATATATAAAAAAATATACAGACTTTGCTGCTAACAGCGTGTTCAGACACAACACTGGCTCGTACCTGAGCTTGTGATCACATGTTGCATCCAGCTGAGGTGTGCCGTCATAGCGGACCTTCATGCTTGTTTGAATCTGTTTGTTTTTTTGGGGGTTTTCTGAAGATGTGAATTTCTGACAGATTTGGCACTGTTGGGCCTCCGTAGGCTGTTGGTTTTGGGTGTTTTATTAAAGAGAAAAAGAACTGCAGCCAACTGTCAGGAAACCAGCTGTGAATAAATCATGTTTCACAATAATTGCACTGAGAAGGGAAAGACTTTTATTGTGAAACAGAGGGAAGAAGCTTGCAGCAACAGGAAGTTTGCAGAAGAAAGGTTTTTGGGTTTTTTATTTACAATGTTTCATCATGAGTCATCAGGATAAAGTTTGGGGTACAACTCTGTAAACATCTGGAACATCTGCTCAGACTTGTGGTTTCCCCTCTGAAACACTCGCCTTCCTTCTGACCTTCCCCCGTTGGACTCGATGTATTTATTGTAGTGAGTCGATTTATTAACTTGGGTGTTTGAAGTGGAAATGTTATTTCTAATTATGGTTGTAAAATTTTCTCCTTTATCTCTGGATTTCTTGTGTTGATTCCTAAATATATGTCATTCATGCCTCCTGACTTCCAAAATAAAAGTCTTTTTAAAGCATTTAACTGAATTTAAGCTGCTATCACAGGCACTAGGACCCTGCGGACACTCTGCACTTCCTCCTGCTTTAAATAGCTTCAGCATCTGATTGGTGGATTTTTAATGAAGCAGGCTGAAGCTGATCTGCCACCTCACCTGTGTGCAAGGAGCAGGTGAGCGTGGCCAATCAGGTGGCGGCTCTGTGGTGAAATGCAGACAAACCTGTCAGGCAGAGAGAGAGAGCGAGCGAGCCCCATAGAGTGAGAGTGGGAACTCCCTCTGTGCGAGGGAGAGGAGAGGAAGGAGGACACCACACTCAGACATCCAGTGGGTCCCACACGCTGGTCAGAGCACGCCGTGACATCAGAGTGACATCATGAGCTCCCCCACTGAGCATACAGACGGGCACGGTGAGGACAGGTAAATATTTACAGCTCAAACGCTGTGTGAGAGTGTGTGTGTGTATTTGTGCGTGTGTGCGTGCGCATTTCCTGCTCAGTAAAAAGAGGAAGTTCAATTCAAACTGCTTCTGCTGCTGACGGTCAGTGAAGGGGTCTCTGTGATATGTTCACCGCCTGATGATCTGGGCTGTTGATCAGCAGGAAGTGATATCCGTTGACTTCCTGCTTGCTATGGGGTCTCCCGGTCCAGGTCCTGAGCCTCATCGCCGATCTCTTCCTTGCTGATGACTTCACTGATTAGTCTGCAGTTTCTGATTGGCTCCTGGTCGGGTCCTGATCGGGTTCTGGTCCTCGGACAGGAAGCTGACGCCTTTTCCTGGATCTGAGCTCAGAGTCAAAGACCAGAGGAGGCCTCTAATCCTCCCGAGTCCCTGAAAACACTCTCTGAGCTCCTAACTCAGTCCGTGAAGCTCTGCAGGTGAGGCGTCCGGTCACGCCTGCGTGTCATGCGCTAGTTTGTGTCACACGTTGAGTTTTTGCAATTTCCCATCATGCTCCTGCAAACAGCTGATCTGTGGAGCAGGTGCTGAGTGAACGTCACCAAACAAACTGCCAGTAATGTGAACTGTGTTTGAGCTGATGAAGAAACGGACTGAACATCGCTCTGAGGTTCACGCCTCGCACTCTGCACCTGCAGCTTCACCTGCGCAGGTGAGGCCGTTGTAACACATGCAGAGCCGAGGACATTAGGGGAGAATATTTAACGTTCACAACACGCATTTTAATAACCCGTGCCGAAACAAAGCATCTTATGTTCCTGGCCTAACCTTACTGCCCACGGAGGTGCGTCTGATAACACACCTGAGGACTGCGCTCACACACCATTTTGGCTTTTTTTAGAAAATCTGGCTGTAAATCAACAGCCTGAGCCAAGTGTGCCATCTGCTGGGACGAGCTCAGAATCAAAGGTGATGATGTAATAATGATTGGCTCCACCCCCTGCAGTTCACCTGCAGTATCTGCACGCACCACCAGGGGCAGCCGCCAAGACTTTACGAATCTTTAAGGCTGGAGACAAAGAACTGAGCAGATTATACGATCTGCAAACATCAGTCTTCATCGTCTTAAACTCGTCCTCCTTCTTCTCACATGTTCTCACCTGAGGAGCCCTCTGATTGGCTGAGATCCTTTGTGAAGAGCTTTAATCTTTACCAGGATTTCATCTGAACTTTCATGTATCCATCCACAGCTGTTCCTCACCAGGAGTGACTCCAAGGAAGCTTTACAGACTCCTTCATCTCTCCTCTTTGTTTTTGTGGAGGCTCATCAGAGTTCTGATATTTTTGCGAGCTGACCCTGAAGGTACCGCAGTGAAAACACTCCTCACCTGCAGAGGACCACCCACTGCACACACCTGTTCAGTTACTGTAGCTGGAGATCAGGTGTGTCAGCTTCACAGCAAACAGAGGAACAATGAAGCCCCTCCCTTGTTCACCTGTTCAGGTGTGTGTGAGATAGTCAGAGCAGTCAGACGGGTTTGATCTGATTTTAATCACCAGGAGGCTTAACTGCCTGCAGGTCAGATCTGTGATTGGACGGAAACCCTGGAGCTATAAATAGTTTACAAACCTCCAAACGAACGTCACAGGAGGTCAGACCAAGGTGTGTGTGTGTGTGAGTCATGAATGTCCGATCAAACAAACTTATTTATTGGTCTTTATTTAACTTTAAATAATAGAACCACAAAAAAACGTCAAAATACCTGCAGAAGAACAATCAGCCAATCAGAGAAGAGAATCTGAATTGGGTCCCATTTTCGGTTTTTCTTTGCTCTTCCAGGTCTGCTCCAGGGCCCTCAAGCCCCGCCAACATCCAGGACATGGAGCTGAGGGAGGAGTGGCAGGATGATGGCTTCCCCAGGTCAGAGGTCATGCTAACAGAGGCTAATAAAGATAAATAGATCCTTATGGAGGATGTTAATTTGTGCTAACAGAGGCTAATAGTAACATATGGTAAGAGGCGAATGTAGCTTTAATAAAGGCTAATGCTAATATGTGCTAACAGAAGCTAATAGCTGTGAATAAATGCAAACTAAAGCTAATGTGTGTGGTGAATATCTTCTCACCTCTTTGTTTCACATGTTTACCTGGCTGGCGTTGCTGGGCTTGCTGCTTCAGACCACTTCCAGAGGATGACACAGAAAGTCCAGCAGGAGAATCAGGTGAAAACCAATTTTTGTAAGCTAAAGTTGAAGCTACGAGTCTGTTGTGGCCAGTGCTATCCTCTACGCTGTTGCATGCTGGGGGAGCAGATTGAGGGTTGCTGATGCTAACAGACTCAACGAACTGATCTGCAAGGCCAGCAATGTTGTGGGGATGTAGCTGGACTCTCTTAAGGTTGTGATGGAGAGGCATACGTTGTCCAGGATAAAGACAGTGTTGGATAATTCCTCCCACAAGAGCACGCTCAGTCATAGACTGAGATTACCAAAAAGCACCACTGAACGACCCAGGAATGCATTCCTGCCTGTGGCCATCTCCCTGTACAACTCATCCACCCAACACACTGTATACTGCTATTGCTACACCCTCTTTGCTCATGCTCTTCTTTCTTATTCAGATATTTATTAGTAAGCAGTGTTGGGACTAACGCGTTATTAAGTAACGCGTTACAGTAACTACGTTATTATTGTGGTAACGAGCACGGTAACTAGTTATGCCAAAATCAGGAACGCGTTAGTCGTTACTGGGATTTAGATAGGCTCGTTACTCGTTACTTCGTGTGGTGGCATCGCGGAGCTTCCACAGATTCAGTAACATAAGCAAGTGGTGGAGGCAGCAGGTGGATGAAGGAAAAGGGAGGCAAGAGGAGAGACCCGAAGCGGCCGCTGGTCCGAGAGTGTCAGGTGAACTGAACTTCAGGTTAGAAGTTATGACCTGCAGTCCATCTGGGTCAGATATGAACCAAGTTTAGGTGGAGTTTATTTAATATTAATTTCTAGTATCAGCTGATGTTTGCTGGAGCCACAGCTGTAAAGCTGCTGGTCATGATGTCGGTTTGGATATGTGGTGAGAGGGAAACATGAAGATGAAACCAGGAGATGTCCTTACTGAATCATCAGAGCTGAACAGGTGATGGAGAAACAATTTTCTGTCCCAGTCCAGCCCTGTATGCAGCTCATCTGCAGTCTGGTGTTACCTACATCTTCCTATTCAGAAGGCAGAATTTCAGAGTTCTGAGTACAATCGAAAGCACCACGACTGCAGTTTTTGTGTTGGATGTAAAAAGCGCACATGACTCTGTGACGTAGGCTAGAATCATGGCAGCAGTCAACGATGGTGCAGGCGTGAGATTTCTCTCGTGGAAATATGCACATTATCTTTTCCTTTGTATTGGTCGGTGGCACAGTGCACTGTGGCAAGTAAGCAAGCTAGAAGACTGGCAAAGTTACGGAAGCAACACATTAACAAGAGAAGTCTGAGTAAAACCAAAGTTACTTTCCCTACTAACTAGTTACTTTGAAAGTAACGAGTAACTTCAAGTAACTGAGTTACTTTTGATGGAAGTAACTAGTAATGTAACTAAGTTACTAATTTAAAGTAACTTACTCAACACTGTTGAGTAAGTGGCTTATATATATGTAAATATTGTATATATTGTGCTATTGTTTATTTCCTGTATTGTCTTTGTTGCTGTTGGTACTGGAGCGCTGTAACCAACATCATTTCCTCTATGGCTCAGTAAAGTATTCTGATTCTGACAAAGCTCAAAGTCACCAATCAAAGGTGATCAAAATCAATGACAACAATCTTCCAAAAATCAATCAGTGTTCACTCTGTCCTCTGTTCTTTAGCTCTGGTCACCAGCCTCACTGGAGGCGGAGCTAAGAAGCGTCTGGTGGCACCGTCTCTGAGTCTCACGCTGAACCGCCGTGACTCGAACGATCGGAACAGCTTCTCTGCAGCCGCGCTGTCAGGGACACCAGACGACACACCGTCGCTTGACATCAACCTGGAAGCTCTGGAGACGCCATCGGACAGCGAGACAGGAACACTGCCGGACAGCATGCACGACCTGGAGTGGGATGGTGAGATGTGCACGCAGATGGGAAGTAATGTAACTGAGAGAAAAGCAGCTGACCTCTGACCTCTGTCTCACAGACGACCTTCCTCGGATGGGCAGAGGTGGAGCTGTGGGTGTGGCCAGAAATCCGATGGAGCAGTCCGAAGGTCTGATGGAGCTGGATCAGGTGGACAGCAGAGGGCGGCGCTGGAGGCGGTTCTGCATCTCAGGACACGAATACCATGTCAACATGAGCGTCCTGGAGCCGTACCTGCAGGTCCTGTCGCATGGAGGTCAGAGGTCACACACCCACCAAACTACCTGTAATACACCTGCAGGAGCTTCCAGGTCTCACACACACCTGAAAAACACCTGTAACACAAATAAGATGATACACTGATATTACACCTGCAGGAGCGCCACACACACTCACCTGTAACACACCTGCAGGTGCCATGGAGCTAACACTGTGTTGTATTTGAAATTGCACCGTGACAGCTCTGCCTGTGGTTGGTTGACAGGCTACTTTGGAGACGGGATGAACGCCATCATCCTCTTCACTTCTTGTTACCTGCCGGAGAACACAGTGGAAAACTACGAGTATGTCATGGAAAACCTGTTCAGGTGAGTTTGGGCGCAGAAATTGTGGTCAAATGCTAGCAGGTGTGAGCCACGCCTCCTTTATCACCTGTCTTCCCCTGCAGGTACATTGTGGGGACGCTGGACCTGATGGTCTCAGAGAATTACCTGCTAGTCTACCTGTGCGCCATGGCTCCCAGAAATAAGCTGCCCTCCATCAAATGGCTTCACCAGTGCTACACGTCCATCGACAGGAGGTACAGCATCCCCTCTCAGCACCGCCCTGAGGGGTGGAGCTTCTTTACTTCCTGTTCCTTCAGTAACTGTGACCCCGTAGACGAGTAGAGCTTCTCATAACTGCTCGCTGTGTCTGCTCCGACCTGTGGACCATGCGGCGAGATGATCTTTCAGTTCAACTACCTGCAATTTTGCTTTATTTATGTAGCACGAACAGTCGCATCGGGGCACCTAACAATCATGTGACCCCCTATGAGAAGGCACTTTGGCGACAGGAAGTAACCTCCAGCAGTACCAGGCTCAGGGGTGGCCATCAGCCGCGACCGGTGTGGGTGAGAGGAGGAAGACGGGATATTCTGAATGTGAGACGAGCTAAGGTGAAAACAAGGCGCGTTACGCTAACCATAGGCAAGAGCGCCAACGGAGAGCTCCGCCCCCATCACAGCCACAACAAAAATGACCCCTCTATTCATCCATTTGCAGTGTCAGGGTCACGACCTGATTTTCACACGCTGCGTGGCGTGCAGCACCGAGATCCTATTTGGAGCATCCACTCGAGTCAGACTTCCTGTTTGGAAACAACCAACCCACCAACTCTGCAATCCAAGATGGCAGCAGTGGGGGTTCAACACCCCCCGCCTCTCGCCATGTCACCTTCTGCTAATAAAAGCTAATAGCTGGCTGTGGCTCAACGACAGCAGGTGATGGTGCTGACGTCGGGTCAGACTCCGTCATGACGTCTTTAATCTGATTGATCACGCTCGCTGTGTAAGAGACGCTCTGATTGGAGCGCTGCTCTGTGTGGTCATGATGTAATCATCAGTTGCCTTTGCTGTTGGGAGATGATGTCGGGGATTCAGCCATGTTTCCAGCTCTTTGGAGGTCATCTTCTTCCTCCTCCTCATCACAGCTGTGCACGCTTACAACCACAGCAGCACCGTGCAGCTCTTTAACTCGTCTGTCATACGTAATGGCGTTACCGCGACCAGCTGATGGTCACGGTGGCCTTTGAAGTGTGTTTAGCGCACAAGGACATGGGGGTTCACTGTCCTCATGTCTCCGCAGGCTGAAGAAGGACCTGAAGGGGCTGCTGGTCGTCCATCCCGCCTGGTACATCAAAGCTCTCATCACGCTGGTCAAACCTTTTATCAGGTCAGCGCGCGCACACACACACACACACACACACACACACACACACACACACACACACACACACAATGTACATTTGGTTTTTCTGGACCCTGGTTGGCTGCAGTGCATTCCTACCACCAGAAGGTGGCAGTGAAGTACCAAGAAGCTGAAATCTAGCAGGGCCTCTGTCAGTGAGCTGCACTTTGACTCTGTATGGAGTCAAAGTGCAGCTCACTGGATAAATCACTGTGTGCACGTTCACGGTGCAGCATCTAATGAGTCTTTACTTGGGATGAGGGAAAGAAATTAGACTAACAGACTAGTGTAAAAGTAAGAAATGCTCAGAAGTTTAGTTCAATTTCATGGAAAATGTCAAAAACTAACAACAAAGGCATTTTAAAATATTTATCACATTCATGATCAGAGGTGGCAAAAGTCCAGACATTCAGTGTTTAAGTAGAGAAGAGTTATTGTCAAAAGCACATGTACAGATCATACACAGTGAAACTGCAGGGCTCCCACAGTCCTCAGTGTTACACTAAACAACATAAAAGATAAAAGTCTTATACACACAACAGTGTCCAACACAGTCTGAGTGTTTTTGGGAAAGTGGGAGTGTGGGAGTCAGTGAAGGGCGGTGGTTCAGAGTTTTGGGGGCCGGGGTCGACAGAGCAGGGAGAGAGTAGATGTCCTGGAGTGAGGGCAGAGAAGCACCCACGATCCTTTCTCTGCTCTCGCTCTCCTCAGTTTGAGGAGGAAGTAGAGTCGCTGTTGGGCTTTACGGACCACGATGCTGTTCTTTGACGACATCAATATGAAGTACATATACTAGTGTTAAAAAATACTGCAGTAAAAGTTCAAGTATGGATTTAAACTTAAGTGAAAAAGTACAGGCTCTGACAGTTACTCAGAGTAAGAAAGTAAAGAGCAGCTCCTTGAAGGACGTTTTTACTGAACCTCCTGTTATATTAATGTAATAAAGTAATAATAGATGGAGATGAGCAGGTTTTCCCAACGACGATGCACCACCTGGTGGCAGATGTCTACATAACATTTAAGACCCAATAATTTACTGGCGTTAGATTAAACGGCTGTCATGTCTGTTGCTGACGATTAACACATCGCCAATCTTCGTAATTCTTTCGATCTTGAAGAATTCTTCCAAGAGTCTGTGGTGCACGCTGGTGAAACCAGAACCTCACAGAACTGCACCGCCTGATGGAAACATCGGTCAGCACAAGGCGCCATCTCAGTGTCTTAAAGAGTGTTTGATGTTATGCAGATGTTGGATGTTGCAGCAGAAACACATTCTAAAGCTCAGACCTGAGCTTTAGAACAGGACCCCAAGTCTTCCCCCTCGGTTAGAGCGGCCTCCTGTGGTGGATCTGGTCATTACACAGATAAATCTCAGTGAGAAATCTTACAGGTTAAACTATCCCAGGTCCTGATGTGTTGTGTTAGCTTGATGTAGTTGGTCTGTCTCACCTGTGACCTTTGACCCTGTTCTCCACAGCGATAAGTTCAGCAGGAAGATCCGCTTCATTCAGAGTCTGCAGCAGCTGTCCGAGCTCATCCCCACAGACCAGCTGCAGATCCCCGACGCCATCCGCCAGTAAGGCCCTCTGACTCCAGTCTGACTCCAGTCTGACTCCACTCTGACTCTGACTCCACTCTGACTCCAGTCTGACTCCACTCTGACTCTGACTCCACTCCAACTCCACTCTGACTCTGACTCCACTCCAACTCCACTCTGACTCCAGTCTGACTCCACTCTGACTCTGACTCCACTCTGACTCCGCTCTAACTCTGCTCTGACTCCACTCTGACTCTGACTCCACTCCAACTCCACTCTGACTCTGACTCCACTCTGACTCCAGTCTGACTCCACTCTAACTCCAGTCTGACTCCACTCTGACTCCACTCTGACTCCCCTCTAACTCCACTCTGACTCCACTCTGACTCTGGAGTCAGAGCAGAGTTAGAGCGGAGTCAGAGTGGAGTCAGAGGGGAGTCAGAGTGGAGTCAGAGTGGAGTCAGAGCAGAGTTAGAGCGGAGTCACTCTGACTCCACTCTGACTCCACTCTAACTCCAGTCTGACTCCACTCTAACTCCACTCTGACTCCACTCTGACTCCACTCTGACTCCCCTCTGACTCCACTCTGACTCCGCTCTAACTCTGCTCTGACTCCACTCTGACTCTGACTCCACTCTGACTCTGACTCCACTCCAACTCCACTCTGACTCTGCTCTGACTCCACTCTGACTCCGCTCTGACTCCACTTTGGCTTGGACTCCATTGTAACTCTAATCTGGCTCTAAGATAACTTTGATGATCGATTGAACACACAGATTAAAAACAAAATGCAAGAAAATGCTTATAACACCTCACAAAAAGGCTAACAGTGGCAGCTGGGTTAGCTGCTACTTCTGTATGTTTTAGACCTAACCCATACTGACCTTTGACCCCTATTCACCTTAACAGCTGGTGATAACAGCCTTTTCTTATTCCTTCTGTTTGACTAACTCCTATTTTACTGAGTCATACTTCCTGTATAATTTCCAAATTAAAAGCCCTCCATCAGTTTGCATTGAGCCTTTTATTGAGAAACGATTGCAGAAATGTCACGTGATCTGTGCCGTGAGGAAGACTGAGAGAAGACGAAGACACTCACAGAGACGTTAAGGCCTGCTGATGTTGGCGCGGTTCATGAATCCACTTCCTGTCTCTCTGCAGGTTTGATGAGAAGCTGAACAGATGACCCTCTCACACGTCACACTGGAGGGACCCAGGAGGCCACAGGGTCAGGAAGCCTGCTGACCTTTGACCTGTGGCGTGTACATATGAGCAGACTGCTGTACGTCTGTGTGCTGGTGGCGTTCGGACTCAGAGAGGACGAACATGCTAACGGGAACTCTGCTGCTTCTTTCCTCTAAACTTGAACAAACGCTAACTTACTGTTTATTTATTGGCGTATTTAAGACGGCGGTGAGAGCGAGACACCCGACACATCGCGCCGTCACGTTTCTGTCTGAGCCTCAGATCTATGGACGTGTGGGGGGTGGGGCTAATCGGGCTCTGTAATCCAGGTGATAGAATCGGTTTTGGTTTTCATGTCCATGTGAAACACGTGAGTGGAGCTTCACTGCGGAAAGTTGCTGACTGGTTGCTGACTGTGTTTCACTTCCTGTAATAAAGCATGGATCAAGCAGCCTGACTCGTCTTGTTTGTTTCATGAGGTCCCGTCTACCTGAAAATGCGTGACGCTGACTCACGGTTTGCGACCTCACCGCCGTTTCAGGGTCAGCAGCGGGCTCTTAGGCTTGACGAGGTAATGTTGACAGCTGTGGACAGGACAATTATTTAGTTTTTCTTTTTAGTTTTGAGTTCACAGAATTATTCATTTTCCACACAGTGTAAACGCGAGTGCTTACTGGCTGAAATGATTGTCAGGTGACCTGTATTCTTCTTTCTGAATGGCCTGCAGGGAACAGCTCAATCCAAACATCAACAGTATCAACACCAACGTGAGTTCAGCCCACTGAACTGTGTCAGAGCGCCCTGCTGTGACTGTGATTTACATCTTTTCTCTCACACGTCCAAACCTTTCCGTGATCACTCTCGTCTGTTTTTTACAGCCTGTGCTCGTCTCCAAGTGCTCTACGTTCAGCTTTCCAAAACGCACAATTTCAAAATAAAAGCTCAAAGGTGTTGTGTTAAATCATTATTGTGAAAAGTGAAAATCACAGTAGCACGCACACTGCTGCTTTCATAAAGGTGTCAGTATTGGAAAAACTATGACATTGGGGGTGTCCAAGTTCATGGGCTGCATCCTCCTGAGGCCGCATTTGTAGCCCGATTACGTCACAGCGACGCGATGAAGCCTGTCCAAATTCAAAAGCTGCTCCAAATGCGTTCCCCTTTTCCCAGATTTGAAGGATGGGTCGGGTGTATCCTTTGTGGCCTATATTATCCCAGAATTCATATTCATATTCCAGTTTCCAACAATGGCAGCAGCTACTTTTAATATTACTCTGTGTCACAAAACATACTTTCAGGCAAAAATGTAGCTGCGTGAACTTCAAATATCTGCTCGGCTTATCACGATTTCACATATTTGCAAAAGTGCTCCGACGTTTTGGGAGACAAACTCCCCGCACATCGTTTTCAACCCCACCGTGGTCTTTGGCTACTCAGGTCAAACATGATATATAAGTCAATTAGATACTTATAAATGTCATTGTTTGGCTTTTTTCAGTGTCTGATTTGTTTGTGAGTAAATCGGTTTGGCTGAGATTAAAGTTATAGTTCTCACACAGCTGAATAAACATCAAAAAGAAAACTGATTAAACAGAAGTATGAGATGGTCGAGAGTTTACTCCAGTGTTCTGTTATGTAAGCAGTGTGGGCTGTTTCACCTGCACCAGAACTCAACTGTTTACATACAGTGGCTTGCAAAAGTATTCGGCCCCTTTCAACTTTCCCACATTTTGTCACATTACAGCCACAAACATGAATCAATGTTATTGGAATTCCACGTGAAAGACCAACACAAACACGTGAGGAGTGGAACGAAAATCAGACATGATTCCAAACATGTTTTACAAATAAATAACTGCAAAATGTGGGAAAGTTCAAGGGGGCCAAATACTTTTGCAAGCCACTGTAAATAGGGGCGTGGCCTCTGTGACCGACAGGTAATCATAACAAACTGTCTGTGAGGGCTGAGCTTTAATGAGTAAAATTTGAGGATTTTGATTGGATGTGATCTCACAAACTGGAAGAGCATTCGGCAAAACACAAAAAGAGCACCACCCCATGCACATGTGAGACCGTACATGGACAGTTATAAAAGTGTGAAAGTACCTTTTATGTGAGCCGTGCACCGGCTCCGGCTGTGTGTCAGCTCTCAGGTTTCCTGTAGGTGGTGATCAGCTGTAGCTGGATGGTGATGGGTGTGAGCTGGTGGTGGTGTAGTGTATAGGTATGTGTGGGTGGAGTCAAACACACACAGCCCTCAGTGTTACAGTAAAACAATATAAAGATTAAAAAATAAAGTCTAATATACAACACAATGCAGTCTTTCATAAACAACAGTGTCCAACACAACCATAGTGACTGTGGGCAAGAGTTCGTGTGTGTGTGTGTGGGGGGGGGGGGGGCAGTCAGTGAAAGGGTGATGGTGGATGTTCAGTTTGTTTTATTTATGTCTGGGGGGGGTTCAGAGGGAAGAGGTGGATGCAGGTCTGGAGTTGGTGTGTGTAAGAGCAGGGAGAGAGTTCAGCATCCTGACAGCCTGATGGATGGAGCTGTCTCTCAGTCTGGTTCTAGCCATGGCGTACAGCTCCACCATAGCCGGACTGGCCATCGGCATTTGCCCGGTGGGCCGATGGGTTTGTTTGTTTTTTTTCCGTTTTTTTCCGTAACGGTATACACACTGAAAGGTGGTGGATTGGCCAGATGCTGGGAGATGTGTAAAAATAACTCAGTTGTTTGGCTATTGCGGAGCTTCCACAGATTCAGTAACATTAGCAAGTGGTGGAGGCCAGCAGATGCAACACGCTGGCAGGTGGATGACGGAAAGGCAGGAGGAGCAGAGACCCGAGGCGGTGAACTGAACTTCAGGTAAGAAGTTATGACCTGCAGTCTATCTGGGTCAGATATGAACCAAGTTTAGGTGGAGTTTATTTTCGTTTTGCTGACTTTTTACAGTCAGTTACAGTAACTCGTACTGCGTACTAGCTAGCATGACGGAGTTTATATACTGCTGGGCGGGTGCTATGATGTTACTGATGTTGAACTTGTTTTATCTTATTTTATTTATAAGGTTAGTTAGTAGAGTTTCCAACTGTCCCGTAAAAAAAACGGAATCGTCTCGTATTCAGAGAAAATATTATGCGTTTCGTATTGAAGTGAAAAGGAACACAGTTTGTCCCGGACTTCAGCTAGAATGAAAAAGACACAAAGCTGGAGTTATTCTGTGTAGGGAAGTTATGAACTGTTTCTGAGAGACTAATAACACCAGGATCCTTTTCTAAGTAGCTGACAGCTGGTAACTGCAGGGGCGGGTCTAGCAAAGTGTTGCCAGGGGGCCAGGTAGGGCATTAATATGTTTTGTTTAGGGTTATTGTACATAGTAATTTTTTTAGGGTCCCATCATAATTTCTTCAGAAGTACTGTATATGATGCCAGTATTTCCCACATTTTCTAGATACTGTACCAGTGCTGTGTGTAAAATGCCATCAAAAAGTCAATTAAGTTTTATTCTTTCTCCTTTCACTTTGTAAAGGTTGCCATGTTAGAAAGAATATTTTGCCCTGCCATGCTGTTTATTGATGTGGAAAATGAATGGTTTATGAAAATATATCTAAATCTGTCATCAGTAATCAGTAATGATCATGTCTCACCTCTAGTCTCCTCTGTCTTAATTTCAGGTTTTCACCATGTGTTGTAGATAGTTCAGGTTAACTCGACCAAGCAGTCTACTTTCGGGTACTGTTTAGAATACCAGAATAGGGAGGATGGTGTAGATTTAAGTTTATGAGACTGATACATATATACCAACAAGACAGCGTCCATCACTGTGACAACAGCGTTTGTTTTCATTCAAAGGCTTTATGGTTTTTCCTATAATACCTGGTGGGCCGGTCTCTAGTCAAAATGCCCAGGCCGATTTTTTTGTCCCAGTCCAGCCCTGACCTCCACCCAGGCATAGTGATGGGTGTAAGCTGTGGATGGAGGTATCGCTGCCTGTGTATACGAGCTGTTTACTGAAGGTTTCTATTCTCACTCTGATGACTCCGCTCTTTGGGCGCTCTCTCTCATTTATGGCCCGCCAGCTTGACGCCCCGCCCACAGTCCATTTCACGCACTGTTCACGCGTCCACTTCGCGCTCCGATTGGCTGACGTTCTGGGCCGGCCAATCACAGAGTTCCCTGTAGCAGAGGCTTGGCGAGTTCACGCTGTCCGCACGTGCTGCTCGGAGGGTAGCGGGACCCCAGCCCCTCCTGCGGTATAAAACGGGCCGGGGTTGTTTACAGAAAGAATCACAGACGGTACCGACAGCCTGGCCCGGTGGCACTTCCAGTTCTCTAATTTAGCAGCTGCCCTGGTTCATTAAACCCTTATTTCATTTTGTTTTCGCGCCTCGGTGGCGGTTTCTGCACTAACCGGACATTTCACCGTTGCTCCGTGACACTGACCCCTTGACTTCCGGTCCGTTTCGGCCGTCGTCATGGTTCTGTCCCCGGCCAGCAGGCTGCGGCTGTTCCGGGTGGTGTTTTCCGAACCCGGCCGCGCCTTCTATAGCAGCGGGGACAAGCTGTCCGGCTCCGTGCAGCTGGAGGCCGAGCAGCCCTGCAGGGTGGACGGCCTCCGCGTCACCGCCGCCGGCTGCGCGCGCGTCCAGCCCCGCAAGAAGCGCGGGAGGAGCCAGGAGGTGGAGTACCTGAAGTACGACGAGGATGTGCGGCTGGAGGAGGCGCTTAGCCCAGGTGAAGCTCCGAGATCAGACAGTACAGGAATTAGTTAATCAATACAGGTATCGATTCAAAGCTCACATAAAAAAAACTTTATTATCCAGATCAGTTAGAGAAACACGCGGAAGAATCTGAATCTGCATGATTTTAGGATTTCCTGCAGTCTCTCAGTGATTGACTGATGTAATGCAAACTTTAATTGTACTTATAAAAACCCACGAATGAAGGAGGAGATTGTCTTCAGGGACCAGAGCAGTGTCTGCTTCACGCTGTAAACATGTTCATTTTAACATAGGAGTCTGCAGGTCTGGCTCACTACTGTCTCTGCTGGACTCCAGAGGAACTGCAGGATGTGAGACCCAGGTCGTGTCCAAATTCATGGGCTGCATCCTCCTGAGGACGGGTTTGTAGACCGATTATGTCACAGCGATGCGCTGAAGGCTGTCCAAATTCGTCGACTCCTCCGAATGCAGCCGACAAATGCGTCCTCCTTTTCCCCGAATTTGAAGGATGGGTCGGGTGTGTCCTTCGTGGCCCACCATATCCCAGAATTCGTAGCGCGGCCCAGCCAAACTCCAGTTTCCGGCAATGGCGGCCACTACTAAGTTTTAAAATTACTCTTATTAATCTTTCTGGGTCACAAAATAAACTTTTAACATATTTTCAGGCGAGAATGTGGGTATGTAGACATATATTTTCTCGGTTTATCAAGACACCACATATTTGCGAAAGTGCTTCGACGTTTTCAGAGACGTCTGTTACCCACCAGCTCGACAGCTAGCCGGGAGCGAGGGTCACTGAAGCCGCAGAGAACGGCACAACTCCCGGCACATCATGTTCAGATCACTGCGGACTTTCGCTACTCGGGTTAAATGTAATATATAAGTCACTTAGACAACCTAAAAATGTTATTGTTGGGCTTTTTTCAGTGTTTTGTTTGTTCGTGAGTAAATCGATTTGGCTGAGATCAAAGTTATTAGATTATTAGATTAAATAAAACTTTATTAATCCATCGGGTGGGTTCCTCCTTGGTTTTCACACAGCTGAATAAACGTCAAACAGAAAACTGATTAAACAGAAGTGTGAGACGGTCGAGAGTTTACTCCAGTGTCCTGTTATATTTTAGATAGCAAGAAGCAGACGGCCGAGTTTATTAAACTCCACCGAGACAGCGGTGACGCAGATCAGAAGGCGAGACCGTCCAATTTCAAAGCCGTTTACTTCCGGCCTACCCGACCTTCTGAGGACCCGGCCCACGTAGACTGCGAAGGCCGGGTCCTCAGCAGGATGCAGCCCATGAATTTGGACACAACCCCAGACAGGATAAAAACAAAAAGAAACGGAGGAAGTCGCTCTTTTTACTCCCAAGAAGTAAAAGCTCCATTTTCTGCAGTCAGAGAATTGAGCTTTAATGTGAAACAGGAAGTTGCTCATTACTTATTTCCTGTGTCTCAGACTCTGACGGCTGCTTCCTGCTTCCTGCTGGTAAAACCTTCAGCTTCCAGTTCGGCTTCGAGCTGCCGCCACCCGGGTGAGTTTCCAGTCCCGCCGCTGCTTTCTGATGGCGTGTTGATCATGCTGCTGAACGCCACTGCTCTGCTTTCAGGTGCCTGGTGTCGTCCTTCAGAGGGAAGTTGGGCTCGGTGCGGTATTACGTGCGGGCCGAGCTGCGCCGCCCGTCCGAGCATGCCCTGCAGTGTGAGAAGGAATTTGAGGTGGAGGAGCCGCTGGACGTGAACCGAGCCGACCTGCTGGTACGAAACGCCCGGGAATCAAACTTCAGACAGGAAGTAGATTCTGGTTAATGCACATCTCCTGCCGCTGACTTCCTGTTCTACTGTTAGATGTTCATATCAGACACGGAGAAACGCTCAGTTTGTTACAGGCTTTTCTACTCTCTGAGCTCTGTGATGTCATAGAGAGGGCTAGAACCCTACCCATCTGTTGTCAGTGAGGGGTAGCCAGTCAGAGGATAGTAGTCTTAAAGGGGGTGGAGCTCAAAGTAAGAGGGGCTCAGTATCAGTAAAGAAGGATTATTCTGAACTGTGCAGTTCAGAATAATCCTTGCATAAGGCCATGCAGCACAGCTCTGCTGTGAGATGTCACCTGTGCTGCTCATTAACTCCTCCCCCTCCCCTCAGGCGCCGGTGGCAGCCTCCACTCAGAAGAAAGTCACCTGCATGTTCATCCCTGATGGCCAGGTGTCCATTAGCGCTCAAATCGACAGGAAGGGCTTCTGCGAGGGCGAGGACATCTTCGTCAACGCCAAGTTCGAGAACACGTGCTCCCGCATTGTGGTGCCGAAGGCTGCCATCATCGCCAAACACTCGTATGCCGTGGACGGACGCACCAAGGTGACGCCCTAACCTTTACTTTCAGACGTGAGTGCCATGGGACAGGAAGTGTGACCTGTGCGGTTTCCTGTGTGCAGGTGTTGCGTCAGAAGCTGTCGGCGGTGCGAGGAAACCACATAATTTCTGGGATGTGCGACATGTGGCAGGGCAGGACCATCAAGGTGCCCAAACTGAAGCCCTCTCTGCTTGGCTGTGACATCATCCAGGTGGACTACGCTCTCATGGTGAGAGACCACTAATGTTGTCATAAGATCAGAAGTAAAATGAGTAAAATGGAATGATGCAGGCTTAACTTGTAGCCCCACCCCCTCAGATCTACCTGCACATCCCCGGCAGCGAGAAGCTGACTCTGGAGCTGCCGCTGGTCATCGGAACGATCCCGTTCAGCGGCGTGGGCAGCCGGACGAGCAGCATGTGTAGCCAGGCCGGCTCCAGCTGGACCTCCTTCCCCTCGGCTCCACCCAGCTACAGCAACATCCACCGCGACCTCAGGGTGGACGGCCCCCGCACGCCGCTGCTCCACGACTACGATGGCACCGAGGACGAGGAGGAGGAGGGTGGGCTCATAATGAGAGTGCCTGAACTTCACTGCCCCCCTCCCCCCGTATACAGTGAGGTGAGCGCGCCAGTTTAACTTAGTGTGATCTCAGCGACAGCAGCAGCACTTTGGACATCACGGGGTCGTTTGGCGGTCTGCTGTCAGCTAATCCTGTCCTGATGATGTCATTCATTCGTTTTTCTTTCTCTTCTTCAGGTAGATCAGAACTCTGAGAACTCCTCTCAGGTGGTTCCCATCTTCTGAGGACAGCGTCCCCTTTAAACGGTCCAACGCCCCGTCTCTCCACCAGGACACAGGTTGAGGGCGGAGCCTCAGCTCTGCCTCGAGATCTGACCTGACAGCCATTCCCCTCTGATTCAGCTGTTTCCTGTCAGTGAAAACAGAGAAAATGTTTGTTTTTTTTAGATACTTGTTGTTGCATTATTTACTGTAGTAACAGGAAGTTACCTGTGTGTAAGATTTTGTAAATAAGAGCCTATTTTTTATTTTTTTTATGTGATACATGAGTTGAAAATGTTTGGGTGTTTTCAGTTTGTTCCCAAACAGCAAAAATAAAGCGATCATGAAGAATGTTGACTTTTATTCATTTTCTTTTTGTTGTAGAAACTAAATATTGCTACAGTTTCATGAAATGAAGATGAGTACAAAAACTGAAAAAACAGCCTCAATGGCAAAGTGCAGTGCCCCGCCAAAGTAAAATAGTGTTGGCTCGCCATAATAAAGTACAGAGCAGGGCTGTCAGATGAACTTTGAATTTTGTTTCTTTCAGAATTAAAATACTTTCTGAAAGTGTTCTCCTTTAATGATGATGAGGAGGAGGAGCTTAGAGGAAAAATAAGTTGTGTTTAAATGTTTCGGGTTCTCCACTTCCTGTTTGATGTTGTTAAACACGGTGAGAGGGGCACTTCCTGCTCTGTGATTTAAACATGTTCAGGTTTACTTCATAACAGCACTGTTAGTGCAGCTCTCCTCACCCCAGCCAGTCCCTGAGCCTGGTTCTGCTGGAGGTTTCTTCCTGTTAAAAGGGAGTTTTTCCTTCCCACTGTCACCAAAGTGCTTGCTCACACACGAGGTCGTCTAAATGGAGTTTCTGTGTAACACTGTAGTCTTTGCCTGACAGTATAAAGCTCCTTGAGCCGGCTGTTCTTGTGGCGGTGCTATATCACTTAAATTGAATTGAACTGCCCCCTGCTGGCAGGAGAAATGAACACGTGACTGAAACATGTCAAATAAACAAGAAAAAACAGTCCACACATAACATCCAGAGATACCTGACACAGAGGACCACAAATGTGTGCGTGTGTGTGTGTGTACTGAAGTGGGTAAGAGGTCGCACAGATGCATTTCTGAGCAGCACAGGTGCATCTGTATTTTTAACTTCCTGTTTTTCCTGGAAAGATGAGGACACGCTGGACAAGGGCGTTTTTAGAAACCACTGACTCACTGCAGTGTGTGTGTGTGTGTACACGTTTAGACATTTTTGTGAGGACAGAGAATTGGCATGCCACTATACTTGTGGGGACCAACAGCCCTTATGGGGACATCATGTCTGTCCCTGCGGGTTTGAAGGTAATTTTGAGGCTCAAAATGTGGTTTTAGTGTCAGGGTTACAGTTGGGTTAGGCATTCATTTTTGATGGTGAGGGTAAGCAGCTAGGGAAAGCATTATGTCAATGGGATGTCCTCACTAAGATATGAAAACCAGTGTGTGTGTGTGTGTGTGTGTGTGTGTGTGTGTGTCAGCGGTGGTGTGTGATTGGCTGAGGATCAGCGTGACAGCTTCTGACTCAGCCACTCATGTTTCCAGCTCTGCTTCCACTTTTAGAGTCTGCAGGCAGAAAGCAGGGCAAAGGTCAGTATCACAGCCTAATGTCTGAATCCACACACTGCACCTGCAGCTCCACACTCACTTTAAGGACAACAGGTCAGCAGGTCGCTAACGAGCCTCTGCTTTATTATGATTGTTATTTATTAATATTTACCTGCACCTTTAGTTAGTATGACCTGAACCCTAGTAGTATGACCTGTGTCGGCCTGACCGTGATGTACTCTGGATTATCTGTGTCTGCATGAGTCCAGCACTGACACTTTTGGGGCAGAAAGTCACAGGCTCATTTCCTTCTTGTTTCCTTACAATCAGGTCTTTAAGTCTGACGTCATTAGCCATGTCTGGGCCCAAACTCTGCTGCAGGTCCCAAAGTCAAATGATCACTGTAGCATTACTGAGAGTTGAAAAACTTCTAAATTCTTTCATCTTTAATAAAATGATCAGCGTTGCTGCTTTACCAGGTGAAACAATTACGTTTAACATCCATGAAAACCAAATTTATTACATTTAACAGAGTTAGAAGTTAGCAGGAAGTTAGGTCGCTAGCTTCCACCTAAACATGATGTAGCATGTTCTGACTGAGAGATTTATGAAGCATTCAAACGTACAGCTCTGCTATCACTTCCAACATAAATGAAGACAGGAAACTAAACAGCAGTGACGTTTGTAGGGTTACTGAAGTTGGGCTAGCTGGTATATAATGATGTGCTACGTGGCCGCTAGCAACACAGCTATGTTAGCATAAACACAGTGAAGCTGGAGGATGAACGCTAACTTTTTTCCACTTGATAAAAGTTAACTTGATGGTTAGGGACAAATGTAATCGCATGGCAGGATGCTGTAAACGGACCAAACTTCAGTCAGGAGAACAACTGAGATAATCCATCCACAATACGAGGTTAGTCATTCATATACTGCTGCTGGAGTTACATCGTGAGGTTTAAAACTGAGCTTTAAAACGATTAGCGGTAATAAAACCGAAAGAGGCCGACAGCAATCACTGACTGTTTTTAGGGGCTTGTTGAGATTAAATAGAACAAGATACAAAGCATTAAAACATATTAAAAACACAAAAGCCTTATTAAATGCAGACTACTTCGGGCCTGGAAGCAGGACTCATCACGTCATCACTTAAAAACCGAATAGCAGATTTTATTCATTTTACAAACTCAGGAAGTCAAATAACGACTTTTTAATAACG